AAATAATAAGAATATGTCANATTTTTTCTCGGTATCCGGCAGCCCGGTAACTCGGCAATCCGGCAGCCGAGCCGACTGTCCGCCAGGCCGTCTATCAAAGTGCCCTGGGGACAGCGGCACCCGGCGGATAATCGGCTCGAATGCCAGATTGCCGAGTTGCCGGGATGCCGGATACCGAGTGAAAAAATACGGCCTTTTCTTACTTATTTTTTCAAGCTTTTTTCGCATATTTTTTGTGACAAAAAAGTCCCAAATTTCTCTTGTGACAGTGACCTACCATCTTGGATCACCGGAGCAGCCCGACGGAACAGCGCGAGTCGGCGACGATCGTTTCCCACGTTGCCATCACACACGCGTCGGGGTTGCCTAATCGGCACTCCCGCTCGCGCTTGCCCAGCACTATGACCTCTGTGCTGCCCAAGTCATGGTTAGCACCCAGAACAAACGAAGCTACTCGCCCTCCCGAGTCGTCGAAGCCAGCCACACTGCCAGTACCGAGCTATGACGACCCGGCCAAGGTGTCGCCGAACAGCGCCTGGCTCGGCGCCGAGCGAGCCGTCACCGCCGCGCTCTCCACCCCGCACGACGCAGTCCTCGCAGAGCTGCAGGGCCGCACGCCCAAGGTCGGCTCGAGCCAGCTCTCAGGCCCCGCGGTGATGAGTTCCGCCTCGCCCGAGCGCGCGCAGGACGCGGGCGCGAGCCCCACGCAGACGTCGCCGCTCACCGAGGCATCGCCCGAGCCCGTGTACGACCCCTTCTCAGGCGGGCTCGCCTACGTCCTCCCGCCGCGCACCCCGCCAGACGGCGACGCGGGTGAGTTTGGGCAGTCCACGGACGAGCTCTGGGCGCAGCTCAGCCGCATTCGCGAGCTCCAGAGCGAGATCGCCGGCATGCACGTCCAGATGGAGGGCATGGGCGCCGCCGACGGCAGGGTGCTCAGGAAGGCACACGCACGCACCCCGACGGACAACGTCCACAGCGGGGAATGGCCCGACCCTGCCGAGGAAGAGGAGGACAGGAAGCGCGAGCGGGACACCCAGTTCGCGAACCTCACGCAGGCGTTCGAGGGCAGACACGCTTCGATCGACAACATTATGAACAAGGTAGGGGCTCTCATCGTCGATGCCGATTTTAGGCTCAATCACCCGTACTTCAGCTGGACGACTTATCGAAGGCCCTAACGTCATTCACGCTCTCCCGACGCCCACGATGGAATTCACATCGAGGCACAACACCAAGGACTCTATGACGACTGTCTTCAGTAGCCCTTCGCCGACGTTTACAGCGGATCCCGGATCCCCTGGGCTGCCTTTCTCGCCTCAGGTCGCTCCTAGTCGATTACACGCTGCCCTGAATAAGCTCCAGATACCAAGGACACAAAGTCCGGATCCTCATGCTTCGCCAATATCATAGCATGCCTCTCGGATTCTCGTCTCCAGCGTCTTAATAAACGTCTATAATACACCATGACTTTCGAGAGGGATTTGTACGACTTTTGTACATAGTTCCGCCTCGTCACTTCCATTTCACCCTCCAAGCATCCTCAACGCTGCCCGAAGCTCCTTCCTAGCAGTATCCGGGTCCTCGTAGTCCAGCGCCGAAATCGCAAACTTGCAGTGCTTCTGTATGCGGGCTACCACCAAGGGAGTGAGCTCTTCAGCCGCTGGCGTAATGGTCGCCTCCGCCGTCTGGGGTATATGTGCCGGCTGCTGCGATAAAATGGGCAGGGGGGGAGGCGGGAAGCTGATGGAATGCGAAGGCACAAAGGGTGGTGGCGGTGGGGGTGCACTCGGCTGTTGTGCATGAAGTGTAAAACCCGGCGGAAGACTATCCCCCGCGGCACTCGGAGAAGCATCGTCGAATGCAGGTGCGCTGGGGACAAAGCCTGGGGGCAGCCCATATGGCGTCTCCGATGGAGTGAAAGGATCGGCTGTCGGTTCAACAGCTGAGGGTGTCAGACCGCCTATAACCGAGGGTGAGAAGCGAACGCCCTTTGACTCCGAAGACGGAGGAGTTAGACTGCCAAGAGCAGAGTTGTCAACTGCAGCCTGCTGGTCGATCTCCTCCTCGCTCTTGCCTTCCAGCTCTTCGCTCACCCATGCCTTCCTCAAAGCAGACCCCTTGGGGCTGATATCGTCGACGCTGGGCGTACTGGTTGGGAAGGCCTGCCCTGGCGTCCCAGGTGTGGCGATGGTGCTCCATGCCCCCGGACTTGTAAGACCATCCCTGGGGTCTGCGAATGGTACTGTTAAAGAGTCTGATGGTGGCGTTACCGGAGGCATGTCAGTAATGAAACCGGGTGGAGGCGTATATCGGTGTATAGCGGGCGGTGATACACTGCTAGGACGCGCATCGTAGAGCTCGGGGCTAGCAGCGGGAGGGGTTTCTTCAGCAGTTGTCTGTACTTCGTCTGCTCCGCCAGGAGTGGGCTTGCGGCCCTCCCTGAAAGCCTTCGCGATATCGGCAGCTTTCCATTTCGCATAGCGAATCTTCTCAGGCACATTGATCGTCGTCGCAGGCGCGTCCGTGCTCGAGTTGAACACGCTTAGAACCTCGAGGAAGTTTGCTGCCGCGAGGAACTTCTTTGCAGTCGTTCTTGAGAATTGAGTAAAGTTTAACGTCAGGCTGTCGCACAATGACTAGAATACTGCGCACCGTGTTGCGTTCCCCTTGCGATCCTCGCCATCCGCAGCCGCGAAAACGCGCAGCGCAAAGTTCTCGACGTAAGCACTGCTCACCGACTCGTCGTCAATGACATCGTTCTGGCCGATATCGGCCTTCATCTTCTCGAGAGTCTCAAGCAGGTGCAGCAAAAACATGCGAGCGGCATTGTCCTTGAGCTTGTGAGAGATACCGGCTTGCGCAGCATAGTAGGCACCTATGTGGGGGCCGTGAATACCTCGGACGACGAGAGAAAGGTCTCGGACATACACCAGTAGGCAATGACCGGGTCCTTTGTCTTGAGTTCTTCCGCGCGTTGCAGGAATGGAGTGACGGTCTTGAGCTCTGGCGGGACTGGCGGGAGGGAGAGGAGAGACATTGTCGAAGGAAGTCAAGCGAGTTCCCACGTGGCGAGCAGTGACAGACGCGGTGACGCTCTTGCTGCACGTCTGACGTCACGCGCCAACTTCTTCGTCGAGAGCCACACTGCAGAAGCAGAGGCAGAGCCAGGGATATATAATGGCTTGCACGACGCCAGAATTCTGCTCT